GGGAGAAAAAGAGAGAGAAAGAGAGAGAGAGAAATCATCTGGTTGTTTACAGTTTCTACTGCATCTTGTGCTACCGTGCATGCATTATTTTGGATTTTTTGGTCCATACATAAAAATAAGACCAATTTTCCAGTTACGATTATCCCAACGATATTATTTCTGTTATTTATTAGGGTTTGACGTTAGAGTCCTAATGGCAGTGAAGTATGAACTCCTGGACTAGAGTGTGCACGTTGTAAGCTGATTAGTTTATGTGTATGAAAAGCTTGAGTTTATTTCGAGAAGCTTTAACTCCAAAGTATGTGTTGATACCAGATGCAGAGAATCGAGAAGACGTTAAATTCTACGATTAAATTACACGTGATATGCTGGAATAGGTTATATACATGGTTATTCAAGCTTTAATCTAATAGATTTCAAGACTGCGAGTATCGTTCAAACCTAGGAGAACATCAAAATGTCAGATAATTACCACGAAATATTTTTCAGTTAAATAAATGGAACCCAAGCAATGCGATACTTTGTGTTTTTATGTATTTTTTTCAGGTTGTTACTTTTATTAAGGAGTTTTCATCAGCTTACTATAAATATAAGCACAAGAAAAAAATGATCATTTAAATTATTCATACTCATAAAAAGTTATTATGTTTATCTTTCGTAAGCTTTGTATAGTGAGGTGTTGTCAACAAGCAGCTTGACAAGATCTGTAACAATCTTCTGGCTGTTAAGTGCTTATATTCATCGATGCTCGTGTTTCAACCAAGTATTCTTCAATCATCGTTGCAACTGCTCTAAAATCGTCATCCAAGTGGCCTGAATGTGATTCTGATGTCTTTTGCAGCCAACATTATGTAAAGGTTACTTTATCGGGGATACGCTACTGTGTATTAAGATGATGATGATTATTGTTATTATTATTATTTTTTCTTCCATTAATAGTATTTCTTACACAGTTTTCATTACAAATGCCCTTGTATTTGGACAAAATTTAATATAAGTTACTCGTTAATTTAGTGGACAAGTCCCTTGAACACTTATGCATGCATACGGCTCACTGGGTTCGGGATGATAACTGAATGGCACTCGAGAAGACTCAGGTAGCTTACGCAAGTTAACGTCCACTGTTTTTTGTAAAATTACTCTTGTTACTGAAAAAGTTAATGGACTTTACGAAGCCCCTATTTCGTCTTATACTTTGTCTGTTCCTTTATCAATCACAAGAATAATAAATTTTTAAATAAATTTCTACTATTAAAATTCTACATAAATACTTGCTCTTGTAATTAGTATAACCACCTTCATCGTCTATCAGTTTTTGCTAGCGAGTAGCCATTAAGTTGGCCAAGGTCACAAAGTACTGGGGATTATCGATTAGATTTTGCACTTCAGCAACTACCCTTTCATGAATTTCATTCGCATTTTGCGCCGTTACAGGTCTCCAGTCTCTTACCATTTTGAACAAAGCATTTTCTATTATGTTTAAATCTGGTGAATAAGCTGGCCAAGATAATTGTTAAATAATCGAATGATTTTGGTACCACTCCTCAACAATACGAGCTGTATGGGCAGCGCTATTGTCTTTAACAATACGTATCACCTGAGTATGGGGAAACAAGAGATCCACTGGTTCTACCAAAAATGTTTCCAAGATGTGAACGTATTACCCTGCATTCATTCGCCCACTGACGTCCACGATATCTCCGGCACCATGGCCAGTACACCACCTCCAATACACCTCGTTTACTTGACCTCTGTGAGTTTTGGAAATAATGTAATTGGGTGAGTATTAGGTACTTGGAGGCCTCCACATAGTGCACCGTCCGTCTTTGTTCGTTGAAAACACCTTTTTGCCGAGCAAGACTGTGTCTCTCCATTGTTCTCTAGTTAGCTGGAGGTGATTATGAGCAAAGTGCAATCTAGTTGCTTTGTGCCTTTCCAGCAGACTTGTTTTTTTTTTTTTTTTTTGTAGCTTTGAATCATTTCAATGGAGTCTTGTTTGGCACGTCTTTCCTCAAAGTTTTGTAGCAAACGTCCAGGTCCAATACTTCAATTGAATTTTTTAATGGCTTGAAAGGATCAAAAGTTCTCTCCACTACGACTCTGGAAATATCATCATCGGATCGCTTCGAAACTTCTCCATTAACTGTGAGTGGGTAAAAATGAATAAATTTATAATGTACTGTTAAAATAAGATATGAATATGGAATTGGGTTGTAAAAAACATTTTATAAGTTTCCTAAAAGTTTCATACAATGTCTTTCATCTTGCGCCTGGAATTTTCCAATTTTATCTTCTATTTTAAACCGTTGTATCCATTTTGTTGCCGTAAAACGGCAACAACTGAGATGACCTTAGATTTCCTGCAGACTGGCTTGTCTTTCCTACAATGCTTTTATTTAAGCTAAATTGACTTCAGTGGGTCTGAATGATGTCAAAATATAGTTGTATATAAACGTTGAAAGAAATATAAAAAAAAGCACTAGTGTAATCCTTTCACAATCCTTTAACTACCGTACTTAACAACAAAGGCCTACTCGCTGTATGATGCAATATTATATTTAGAGTCTGCTTAGAAAGAGCATGTTGTAACAACTTCATCTGAGATGGTATAAAACTAACTGCAGCAAACAAAGGCTGAAGGGCTGCTATCTTAAAATTGCGAGCATTTGCTATCTCACCATCCAGCTCATCTCTTTAGTATTTAAAAAAAAATAGACTTGATACACCCAAGATTACATCTGATCCATTGATACACTGTACTGATAACTTTAACAGAATTCTGTTTTAAGAGTCATCTAGTAGTTTTGGTTTACTTAATTGCCACCACACATACGCTATTACAAATAAAAATTAAATATTCACGAGCCTATAATTTGTATGTAAAAGATTGAACACTACGAGATAGAGTTGGCCCAGCAGGGACTAAACGACCAGTAAATTCTAAATGTCTGGAATTATGATCCCGTTTTAGTGAAAGAAAAGATGGGAGAAATTCGACGACTTTTTGGTCTTGAATATCGATCAGAAAAGACAAAAGATATAGTGGATAGAGTGTGCGAGGGCGTTGTTCATCATTGTAACTCACCAAGTTTTTTTGGGTGCTTTAACACGTCTGTGGTAATAAGTAAAGTGTGAAAAACTGAAGAGATTCACATTATTACTTTAATAGTGGAAGTGATATGTTATTTCACTTACTATATTTTTTACTACTCGTTTTAAACTTACAGAAAACGTTGTCACCAAATTCTATTACGCCTTAAAACAAGATTCTAATCGTTTAACAAGTGACCTGGCGTTTGGATTTAAGTAGAAGATTGGTCTGGCAAAGGAAGAACAACTAAACTATTAAATCACCGATTCTGACGTGATTCAACCAAAAATTTAAATGTCAAATGGTTTCCCTAACTAAAAGTCATACTTACGTCAATTTTCATTACTATACTATTTCGATCTTTAAATAGCATTTTAATTATTGAATGACAAAATCTTATCGATAAGCCCCAGTACTTTGTGACTTTAGCCAACTTAATGGCTACTCGCTTACAAAAACTGATAGATGATGGAGGTGGTTATATCATTTACTAGAGCAAGTATTTGAGTAGAATTTTAATAGTAGAAATTTATTTAAAAATTTATTATTCTTGTGATTGATAAAGGGACGGACAAAGTATGAGACCAAATAGGGTCCTCGCAAAGTCCATTAACTTTTTCAGTAACAAGAGTAATTTTACAAAAAACAGTGGTCGTTAACTTGTGTAAGCTACCTGAGTCTTCTCGAGTGCCATTCAGTTACCATCCTGAACCCAGCGAGCCGTATGCATGCATAAGTGTTCGAGGGACTTGTTCACTAAATTAACGGGTAATTTATATTAAATTTTGTCCAAATACGAGGGTAATTGTAATGAATACTGAGTAAGAAATACTATTAATGGGAGAAGATATAATAATAATTTAACGACTTCTTAATTCTCTGCACGTGGTATCAACACATACTTTGGAGTTAAAGCTTCTCGAAATAAACACAAGCTTTTCATACACATGAACTAATCAGCTTACAACGTGCACACTCTAGTCCAGGAGTTCATACTTCACTGCCATTAGGACACTCACGTCAAACCCTAATAAATAACAGAAATAATATCGTTGGGATAATCGTAATTGGAAAATTGGTCTTACTTCTATGTATGGACCAAAAAATCCAAAATAATGCATGGACGGTAGCAGAAGATGCAGTAGAAACTGTAAACAAGCAGATTCTTTCTCTCTCTGTCTTTTTCCCCCAAGAATATGACAAAAGTCTGGCTGCTCTGCAGAACTAACGTTATTTCTGATTGACCAAGCACAATTAACGGGCGATGTTGCCATTTAGGGTCAGCGCCGGGAAATAATCGCACTTCTCTGGTAGTACAACAGTTTATGACTTATACAGGAAAAGGTGAGCTTTATAGGCATCTGTGGCTTAGTTACGAGTTTGTCAGAGGGGATCGACTTCTTAACTTGATATTGGTAAGACAGATAACTTTTTATAATAGTAATAGCTTTTCTTTACTATTAACTGCCCCAGGTAAAAGAGGGAAACCAGAAGCCATCTACTATACTTACTTCAGTCTAGTTATTATAAGACACTCCTTTACTTTCTTGAAGAGTATTTATTAATTACTTATACGTACAGATTTATTATTTTTTATTTCATCGTCTTATCTGCAGTTAAATAAGATGTAAAAATATTAAAAATAATTTATGCGCTGTTGTCTTTACGATGGTAATTCTTAAAATTTGAATACTGAGATTATTCTGATTCAATGCCCTTTCATACAAACTAATGTAATAATTAAACGAGAAAATAATTGCAAAGATTATTTACCCAACTGTTGTGGACTTATAATTGTGAAATATTCTTACTATTGCATAAGTTTATAATAAGAAAGACATACATTGATCCAAAATAAAAGTATTACCTTTGTTTATTTTACTTTATAATATTTTTGTTTCTTTTGCAGATACTTTGTACTCCTAAAAATACTCCTTTGCTTCATTCTACCAACAATTATTCCCGTCTTCTTATGGAATGAAAATTGGTACTATGCACTATTATCACAACTATTAATGCGTTATTCGTACGTGTTAAATGCCACCTGGTGTGTCAACAGTGTCGCCCACATGCTTGGATGTAGACCTTACAATAAGTAAGTAATTCATATTCTCTTTTTGTCTTGGTAGAACTTATTTTAAGAATCATTCATACTCTTGAGAGTTGGCTACCTTGGTTTGCCAATCGTAGGGTGCCAGAACCTTTGGGCATAGTAGATTATACTAACGAAGCGTATTTAAACTTCGAATCAAGAGTAAAATATAAGAATAGATATCTAGATGTCTCCACATAAATTAAATTGTGTGTCATAGATTTTTTAATGTAAAATAATTTGATTTTCAAATTTTTTTGCTTTTTCTTTATGGTCTTAGAAACTATCGATTAAACAAGAAAACAATACAAAATAAGTCATTTGAAAGAAAATTGAGTACAAAGATTGAGTATTTTAAACAATCCAATAATTAATTTTCATCATTCAAACAAGCAGAAAACTAAAAGAAAATGGAAAATTTAAAGAGAGTCAAAAACATGTTAAATAAGATCAAATGTGCTAAAAATTATAAGTGTTACAAACATAAGTGTGGTTAACGTTAAAAGCAACGTTCGATCACAAAATTTAAAGATAGTGACCTAATGCAAAATTGTTGATAACATTTTTATTGTCTCACACAGCCAGCAAAGTGTGATTAGTAACGGAACTGTTTTTAAATATTTTTTGTTAATAAAATGTGCCCTTTGGCACGCAAGTAACGGTGATTAACAAAGCAACTGTTTCTTAGTAAAGTTAGTTAAAAAAATTTACCCTTTAGCGACCAAGCATTGGTGATTAGCAATCTTGTCAACAGTCTGTATATAGGTATTATTTATAAATTGAATGTACTCTAAGTCAAGCAAACATTAGTGGCAAGAAATCAAACTATTCAAAGTACTTTGCACTGCACTAAAAAGCCGTTGGATATCTAATGATCCCTGATGTATGATTATCTAAGGGCATATTTTATAAGTCAATAGTACCTAAGGAGGCTTATTTTATCAAATTCACACACTTATCACAGTACTTGTGAAATGTATGAAATTAGAATCCAGGGTCAATGAGTATATTTTTTACCTCTGTGCAAAACTTTAGTATAGGTTGCTTCGGAAAACTTTTAGTAAAACGCGTTACAAGTGAGCGTCTTATACATAGCCTTTCATGGAGACGGCACTTTTTTCACTAGAAATCTCATCATAACTCTCTTAAATCACTTTCTACATGAACAAAAATACATGTAGTTACACTTCCTACATGAAAAGAGACATGTTGTTTAACTATTACTTTTTTAACCAAACATAATAAATATATAAGTTGCTGTGAAGTTAATTGAGATATATCCTTCTGAAGTACACTAGTAGGCATAATAAGAAAAATATTGGTTATAATGTCGTCGGCAAAAAACGTGCCAAGCAGAAATGTATTTAAAAATTTATTGTGAATGAATTGAATTAATACATATCTGTACTTTGAAACAAAGTAGTACTGTTTGATAAAATAACCATTTTATTTAGAATCTTAATAATTATGCGTAATGCGTGAGCTTTTATTTTAAGTATTTATTTACTTATAATAGACATTTCATGGACATTGTTCAGCGACTGACATTAACTATCCTTATGTTCAATAAAAGATTATATCTACGTAAAATCAACTACCACATGGAGCAGACGAAGCTTTTGTTCTCCTCTGCAGTGAAAGTAATAATATATATTGTTATGGTCATGACTATACCTATATATGTTATCGACTATATATGGTGTGTTGAGCCTGCTTAAAACAGTTAGGTCGCTAATCACAAGCACCTGCTTGTCTTAAGGTACATTTTGATAACTAACTATACTAAAAAGCGAATGGATTGCTGATCACAAATGCTTTTCAGCCAAATGGTACATTTTTTAAATTATTTTTACTATAAAACGGTTCAATTACTAATTACCACTTATTGTTTGCCTAAGTGTACATCTTGTAAGCTAACTGTACTAAAAAAAGTTAAGTTACTTGCTCGAGATATTTTTTTTTGTCTAAAGCTAAATTTCTTAATAATAATTTTAAAAAACAGTTTGTAAATTGCTGATGCTTAATTGTCTAAAGATATTTTTTTAATTTACTATGCAAAAAAATTGGGCTGCTTATTGCTATTGCTTGCTCAAAAAAAAAAAAAAAACTCATTTATTAACAATTTACGAAAAAATTAATTTACTAAGTGCTGATGCTTGCTCACCTAAAAAGACATTTCATTTATTGATAATTTTAAATAAACAGTTGGGTTCCAAATATTAGTGCTTGCTTGCTCAAGGTACAATTAGTTCACTAACTTTACTGAGAAACAATAAAATTTCTAGTGATTAGTGTTTGTTTACTTATAATGCACAATTTGTTTATAATAAAAAATAATAACAGTTAGGATGCTAACCATCAGTGCAGATGCTATTTTACTTAAGAGGAATATTTTCCAGAATATCTAATCTTTCATACAAGAAAAATTGGGGGGGGGGCTGCAGATCTCATAAATGTAATTTCAAGTAATTTGTGCACAAGGTTATATGTTAAATTGCAAACTTTTTTAATTAAACATGCCAAAGAGGGTACAGTTTAATGATCTGCAGTTTTTTTGGGGTATTTTTTATGGTCTTTTTAGTGTTTTTTCGATGCTTGAGTAAAATCTGTCAAAAAAATATACATGTGATGAACATCCTAAAGGGACATTCACTGGCACATAATTCTACCCTACTGAAAATACAGTGGTACTACTGTATGGTTTTTTCTAAACTCTTAGATAAAATTATATTTAGGGTATTAAATATGGACAAGGAATAAATATGTTAACATATGTGATAAATGTGAGCGTGACATCACATTATGTAATCAGCGTAGGCAGTGAGAAGTTGTTTTGAAACCATCGGAAGATTCAATATGAGTGCACAGTCTTGTACTGGCCAGCTTCCATGTTGATTATGTTTTATTGTGGCAGTATATATTAGTTATAGTTGTTGAGTTATAAAATATTAAAACATTAATGGAAAACATACTCAACTAACCAAGGTTTACTTAATTTAACGATAATTGCACCACCTGTGTACACAGTACCGTTTCATGGAAAGTATATTTCTATTTATAAGTATGTTATCTGCCATATAACTTTATAGAAGTTTCACTTCTTAGTTAGGTACCCAAGCACCCACTGTCCACTGGCTTATGCTAGTTAGTGGGTAACTATAATTTGCTGCTCGCCTAAGAGCACACTCTGTTCATAAAGATTAATAAAATATTGCTCTTAAAAGTTAGTAAGCGATAAAATAAGAATTCTCTCGCTTGATTTACAATGTAAGTCACTACTAGGATGAACTAGCAGCCACTATAACTATAGAGCATTATTCTTCTTTAAATGTAATACGTCAACGAAAAAAGTACTTCATTTTTATGATAAAATAAACCATATCACTTTATCACTAAATGATTTTTTTATTGAATTAAAAAACAGTTAACAGAATCTCAAACTTGTATCCTTGTTTTAGGTAATAATACTATAAACTTTTAAAAGTAATATCATCCTAGTGTAATTACTCACTTGAGTATTAAGAAAATTTTATGCATTATATTTGCTAGATCATTATATTTGTAGCCTTTTTTTACCAACAATAAAAATAACGTGCATAACAGAAAGTACTTGTTACAGTAAGGAATAATACTAGTGCAAAATTCGATAAGTTTTATATAGAAAACTATTGTTTACATCGCCTAGGGTATGTACTGGTACATTTAATGAGAAATAGACAGAAAACATAAGTAATGACAACCTATTAAAGTCTATAAATGTTGAAGCGTTGGGGATACATCTCTACAAAGAAAATTTAACCAAAGGTAGGGAAAATGATACTTACAGTGTAGTGTAGTATAGGTTGATGCACTACACCTTTTCTGAGTGTAATATCGTCCGTGTCTCTCGCATTTTTCTACGTAATTATTCCTCAGCTTTTCAATGATTTTTCTATTTTGCCGCATAGTGGAACTTACCGCAAAATACATTTTTTCGAGTGTATGATACATATAGGCAGTATAAGACATATGAGACATATTTTGAGTGGCTAGTACGATCCAAAAAATCAAAGCGTTGTATCTTAGCTTCTGTTGACCTTACAGAAAATATTTTTTTTTGAAACATTTGTTAAAAAAACTATTATAATAAAACGACACTGTACACAAACAAAAAAAAAGTTCTATACGAAAAGTTATATAACATTTAATTGATAATTTTTTTTTTTTTATTGAAAAATATAAATTTCTTATCGATAATTGATACTGTTGGTATCTCTGGTTGGTATCTACTGATTCAAGAAAATTAGACCTTGATTTATGACAAATTGATGATTCTACGAGGAATCAAGAATTTTATTTAAAGATTTGGGAATGGATCACCCTTTTATGATTTTATGATCAGAAGTGAGTTTTAACTTTAACAACAATTTTATTTTTAACATACTCAGTTTTAGCCCCCTTTAAACTTTTCATTTTTTTTATTATTTCGCTTGTTAAAGTGATGAATATTAATTTTTGAATTTTTTAAAATAGTTATTTATTTTATTAATCAACCACTAGAATAACTTCTTTGCAAACAATTTTCTTGTACACTTGATAGTTTCTAAAATATTAAAGAAAAACTGAAAAAAAAGCCAAAAATTCGATCGTTTCAGACAAAACACTGACGTCTTGTACTTATGTTAGAAAAGTCACGAATTCATAAAAGACGTTGGATTAAAAAGGATATCTATATTATGATACATGAGTAAGACTTTGCTATATTATGGTTATATTATATTATATTAGTATAGCCATGATTTTAAGCTCCAACATTCTTTGTTAATTCCCGATTTGTCATGACACGGAAACAAGAGAAAAATAGGTCTGAAATCATGTTAGTAAACAAAAGTGTTACTTAACTTTTAACAGTTGATTAAATGTTTAACAACTGATTGAATGTTTAGTTTTAAGTAGTTTTTTAGACGTGTAAAACTTACAAATAATTACATTAATAGAACTCTTATCTATTTTATACTTAAAAA